GCCGTTAACACAGTGTTAACGGCTATCTTGATTTATATTATATGCAACTATTTATTTCTAGCCGTATCTATTGTGTAATGGAGTGTATCTGGTGGTATTTGAATCTGTTCAACCATGAAGCCTCCGTGGTCTAATGGTTATGACGCTTGCCTTGACAGCGAGAGGTCGCAGGTTCGAGTCCCGCCAGAGGCATTTTATTACACAATTTCTTCATTCATTTATTTATAGGACTACATTCGTTGAGAGCTATGCTACAAGATTTATTATTATGTCCTTTATTCGAACACTGTATTTACCTTTCTTTGATGATTTATATGTAGACTGTCTACGTGCACTGTTGTCATAATTTTTTGTTTCAACGACTTATACATAATTTGTAGAGCACACGTGCATTTACAATGATATATATATATATATATATATATATATTTGATTTTATTAAGTAAATGTTATTGTTACTATCAATTGCTCATTCCTAAGCACATGATTTTATGTATTTTGATGTGTATTGATGTTTTGTTTTGCTTTTTTACTCTCCAATTTTGGAGGCAATCTTGAATAAATTGAAATTGAAATTATTATAAATATTGCTTACGTCATCTATTATAAATATTTTAATGTTGTTAAAATAATAAATCAACCTTTACTATGGAATGCTAATATATATAATACATATCAACGTTGTGTTGTTTAATGAATGAATCAGAAAGTCAAATTTAATAATAACATCATCATTGTCAACAAGAGAATAATGGTCACTTACAGAACAATAATGTTCTCATCATCCAGCAATAATGTTCATATACTTACAACCTGGTGCTGTTTCACAATTGATTCCCGTGAAAGAACCGGTGCATGTGCAGACATATCCCACAGAAACGCTGGTACTACACATTCCGCCATTTTGACAGGGTCCACTGGAACAGAAATCAGCTGATGAAAAACAAAAGATATTTTATGGTTAAACAAATATCTTCTGTCTGATTATCATTCAAATTTAAATTAAGAATCAATCTTCATAATGTAGTCCTAATGCAAATACGACACACTAGCTAGCATATAACTTACTCGTCGGTGGTGGCGTTTCACAATTTGTTCCCGAATAAGAATTCACACATGTGCAAATATACACCGTAGAAAAACTGGTGCACATCCCGCCATTTTGACACGGCATACTTGAACAGATATCAACTGTTAAAAAAAGACGTTTTAATAGCGAAAATATAGATTACATTAAAATATTGACGTGAATATATATACGAACATTAACATTTTGTATATAATTTTATTGCTTCTTGCAAATCTGCCATGTCGGATCCAAAGGGAGGACTGAGAGAGTAGGGAATCCCTCGTCGACCAAGCACAACCCTTCGTCGCCGGACCACTTGAGATCATTCGGATTATGCCACTTAGAAGATGTGGCATAGCCAATTTTGTCTGTTGCTTAAAAGATTTCACACATGGTTAGCCATTTTTGACTGCTGTCGGGGATGGAGAGGATAAATACCGTACACCATTTTGGGGCGTATCTGTATTCTATTGCTTCTTATTTGCATGCATGACACTTTATGTACTGAAATTACATATTGTTTTAAAATGTGAGAAGGGGACCACCTTTATATACGCACACTGATAAAAAAAAAATGGCCTGATAAGACTTACCGGTCTCACAAAATACACCCGTGAAGCCCACCACACATGTACATACGAATGCAGTGGCGCTGACATCAGTACAAGTTCCTCCATTTAAGCAAAGATTTGTACTGCATGGACTGACGGGTGGTGTTTCACAATTATTGCCAGCATAGCCAGGTGGACAAACGCAGAAATAACTTCCGGTTACGGAAATACATGTACCTTGATTTTGGCAAGGAAACGTATTGCATCCAATAAGTGCTATTGAAAAAGACAAGAAGACACAATTGATACTATGGCTACTTATTATTACAGTACAG